TGTGTGTGTGTGTGTGTGTGTGTGTGTGTGTGTGTGTGTGTGTGTGTGCTCAGAGTGAAGTGGTGGGCCTGGGGAAGCAGTGTGGACTCTCGCAGAGAAAGATCCAGACCTGGTTTAGACACAGAAGGAACCAGGACAGACCCAGCAGCACCAAAAAGTTCTGCGAGGCCTCGTGAGTTTTTCTTCTCATACACTCAGTCGTTGAGCCATTTCCTGTTGGACGGATGTCACACGTGTGCCTGGTCACATCTTTGTCTGATCTCATAGAACTATGTAGTTCATGTACACAGCATCCGCTAATAAGGGGTGTCAAACATAAGGCCCAGGGGCCAGAATGGGCCCAGCAAAGACACCGATCCGGCCCACTAGATGGCTTTGGAAAATGTGAACTGAATTTTTACATTTTCTTACAACATTGAAGTTTTATAGCTTTTCTGAATGATAAAGACGTCCACAGTGGAGCTTCATGCTACACCAAAGTAATTACCACCATATAAACGACATTTTCAGTCTCTCTGTTGATTCATCTACAAAACTATCATCCAGGTCATGATAGTTTTGTTCATAAACGAAAACTTTCTTGTCACTCGTCTCGCCCATTTAAAATCAAAGTGGGCCACTGTGACATCCCAGCGCTAATCGATGATGCGTCTGTTCTTATCTGCAGCTGGCGCTTTGTCTTCTACCTCACGTCGTTCACAGCAGGGCTCGGCTCTTTAATTGATGTAAGTGTGTCGTCACTTTTTTCTTTAAAAGACTTTCACTGAATTTTGAGAATCTACATCTGCTTACTACGCTGTTTAAGTAAGATCGAGACACAGAGATTTATCGTTTCCTCCATCCTCTAGACGCCGTGGTTCTGGGATCAGAGCGAGTGCTGGAGGGGTTATCCCAAACAGGTAGGACACAGATTTTGCCGTTGGGGTGTAAATGCTGGGGTTTGCAGCAAGTGTAACATGAGTCGTAGATTCTTTAATTCATGGTCATTTGATTCTTTGCTCTGTTGTTAAGTTAACATTTATATTCATGAAGAATTAAGTGGCAGAGACGTCTGTGAGCTAAAACTGAAAATCTGCATCACTCAGGTCATAAGAACAATAGGATCTACTTAAAGCAAGGAAAGTGCAGAAAGAGCACGCTGATCGTTTTTAATGCAGACTCCATCCACAATGTTTCAGCTGCGACTTCCT